CTCCCAGCTCTGACATCCTGGGTCCTAAGGGCCCTCCCAAGGGCCCTTCCAGTTCTGACATCCTGTGTTCTAAGGGCCTTCATAGCTCTGACATCCTGTGTTCTAAGGGCCCTCCCACCCCTAGCATCCTGTGTTCTAAGGGCCCTCCTAGCTCTGACATCTGGGTTCTAAGGCCCCTTCCAGCTCTGACATCCTCTGTTCTAAGGGCCCTCTGAGCTCTGGCATTCTCTGTTCTAAGGGCCCTCTCAGCTCTGATATCCTGTGTTCTAAGGGCCCTCCCACCCCTGGCATTCTGTGTTCTCAGGGCCCTCCTCGCTCTGGAGTCTATGATCCTTCTCCTCTGGACCATTTCTTTACTATACTCACTGCCTGATTGTGGCTAGGTATCCCCTCCAGGCTCAGAGTCTCCAGGAAGACCCAGTTCCAGACCCTTCTGGGTTCCTCAGACAGTCCATGGCGTTGGCTATGCCCACACCTACCACCTGAGCCCAGCTCTTCTTCCCTTCTCTGTTCCTGTGCTTTCTCCTTCCCTTGCCCTGGGATACGCCACTGTCCACCCCTATATTGCTTCTGGACGTGACAGCAGATGGGGACAAAAGCAGGTCCTCCTGTGCCTTCTTTACCTCAGGTCCAGGAACCTTCTTCCAATAGCTTGTGAAGGGTTCTAAGCTCTATGTTGCCCCCCAGAAGCCTAGGCCTTAGAGGAATTAGCTCCAAATGGGGAACCATTCACCTGAGCAGCCTGAATGGGTAACCCTCATTTGCCAAGGGCATTTCTCTGCCATGAGCCCGACACTCTCAGGACCCTGAGGGTTGGGGGGGACAAGGGGCTGGTGGTCTGAGCTCCCCCATAAGGGACTAGAAGCTCCGAGGTAAGTGAGGCCATCCCCTTGCCTCTCCAATCAGCTGTTTATGACCCATGTGTCTCTCCCCAGGAACGGATTGCCCACAGATAAACCAGCTGTCACCGAAGATGTAAATATTTACCAGAAATATATTGCCAGGTAGGCCATTCCTGGAGGGAGGCTAGTATGGAGAGAGGGTCCCTGGGGACCAGGCAAAATGGGTGCAGAGGTCATCCCCTCTATCTGGCCAGCCCAAAATGCACTCAGGCATTTTACATAGATCTTCTCCGTGCTCACATATCCTTTTAGTAAGGGGCTCTGGCACTAATGACCCATGAGATGACCCCCAGTACAAAAATAAGCAAACACAATATTTGCAGTTTTTCTTAGTTCCCCCAAGTCACTGAGCTGTTCAGGGAGAATGAGGGATGGCCAGAAGCAGGAACTGCTCGGGCCCTCTTGGGTGGGTGTGGCCCCTGCCCCCTGGACCAGCAGATCGGGATGGAGGATGGAGGAAGCAGGCCCCTGCTTTTCTGCATAGCCCAACCCTAGGCTCACTGGGTCCATGCTTTCCCTGGCCAGCTGTGGGCAGAACTGTTTAAATCCATTAAAATGAATGGGGGTGGGGAGAAGGTTGATGTTTGTCACTCAGCCCAAGAGTCACCCAAAGGTTCGTGGGCAGTGCTAACTGCTACCCAGGCAGGGGGCACGGGAGTGGGGGGGCTGCCCATGATATCTGTGTGTCTGTCTGTCTTTTCCTCCCCCCCCCTCAATTTCCCTCGCTGTCTTCTTCTGCCTCTTCTTCTATGTGTCTGTTTCTGTCTTCCTCAGTATGGCTTTTCCCCTCTTTTTATTATTATTATCATCATTACTATTATTATTATCATTATTATTATTATTATTATTATGATTAGCGCCTCAACAGATGGTCCTTTTGGCAGCTCCAGTTTAAATATTTATTTGTGTGTAGTCTCTGTCCCCCACCCACAATTGGGGCCTTCTCTCCCCCTCCTCTCCCTCTCACACATCATCGTTAGAGGGACCGGCCCTGTCTGTAAACACTGACTGAGCTCCCTCACTTCATCGTAGCTGCTGTGGAGACTGCACGGATATGCTGGTCCGTGTATTTATTCATTTGGGCTCTAACGCGGCATCCCATCAGAAGGGCGACAGGGAGGGAGGCGGGTGGGCGGAAGGGACTGGGGGCTGGGGCTTCACGCTGGCTGGCGAGCCGGGCGTGAATGTGAGCTCCCCACTGTGGGAAGCCAAACAGATGCTGTGCTTTAAAAATTCATAACTCTGGACTGTTTCAAGTGTCAGAAGATGCCGGGGATGGAGATAACCCTTTAGATACTTTGTCAGCGTCAGCCACAGGACAGGCCCCATTCCCAGTCTCCTCTACCCTCCCAGTCTGGGAAAGCCACTTCACAAGTTTTGGCTGCTTCTCCTGGGGCATTCATTGCCTGCTCGATAGATCCAAGCCCAGACCTGCCTTCTCCTGCCTCTATCTATCCTTAGCTAACAGGGCTATACTTCAGTTAATTCATTGAACATTTAGTAAGCACCTGCTGTGTGTCCTGGCCATCTGTCTTGGTCACTGACACCTAGGCGGGCTTTCAAATGGTCTCCTTTCCAGGCTTTTCAGCTTTAGATCGCAAGTATGTGTGCCTAGAACGTGCTTCCTCCTGATCTGTGACTGTTTGGAGCCTTCTTTCCTTTAAAAAATTTGTCCCAAAGTACTGCCTCCTACAGGAAATTTTTCCTGATCCTCCTAATTGCCAATACACACCCCCCACCTCAAAAAAAAAAAAAAAAAAAACCTCAACCTTATCTTGTATTTATTTTATAAAGGGATGGGGCTTGGATCTGTCATTTCATCAATGAAGGGAACTCCCAGAGAAGTTAAGTGATTTACCCAAGGCCACACAACCGGCATGCACCATAGGCAGAATTTGAACCCAGGGCTTCCTGTATTCCAAGCCAGGTCATTATTCACATATAGACACACACACACACACACACAACATACACGTGTTACCTCCTTTGGTAGAATGTAAACCTCCTGAGGTCTGGGACTGCTTCACTCTTGTCATAGGGCTTAGCACAGTATCTGGCTCACAGTAGGTGCTTAATCATTGTTGATTGATTGATGATTGATTCAGACCTAGCACACTTGCCCTGTTCTGTGGAGTGAGTCTGGTTTCATCTTATCTTGAGCCTCTTAAAAGCCTTATCTTCTTCAGGGGCCTTCTTAGAAGCTGCCTGCTGTGGGGGAGCCTTCCCTGATCACTGTTCCCAAGTTATTCGCGTTCTTTGTCCTACCTTGAATTGCCTTGAATTTATTTCACTGTGTTCCCATGTGGAAAGAGCCCTGAATTGAGAGTCAGGGGGCCAGGTTCAAGTTTCAGTTCTGCCTCTTAGTACCCAGGTGACTTTAATCAAGTCCCCACCTGCCTGGCTTCAGTTCCCTCCTCATAAAATGAAGGAATTGGCCAGAATTGGCCGGTGTGGTCCTATTCTAAATTTAGAACCCTGGGAAGACCCAGCAGCAAAGAGCACTTTGTCATAGGCCCCCAGTGAAACAGAAGCTCCTTAACAGCAAGGACCACGCCCTAGCCAGTACCCAAGTACCTCGCACATAGTAGGCACTTAATAGCTGTTTGTTAGTTGAATGGCTGAACTGGGTTCCCATCTTGTCTCATTCCCCCCTCCCCCAACTCCTCTGGGGGCTCCTCTTGTCCCCAGCTGGGCTTGGGGGAACCCAGCTTTCTTCCTGGCTCCAGCTCCCCTTCTTGGGATAGCCATGTGTCTTTTGTCTTAGGGTGAGCTGCCCAACTTGGAGCCATTCAGGCCCATCTCTCCCAAGCCCCAGCCCTTTCCTGGACAACAGAACATAGTGGTTAGAGCTCAGGAGAAACCTGCCTTTGAGTGTGCCTCTTATTAACCATATGTCTGTGTCTAAGTGATTCCACTGCCTGAACCTCAGTTTTCTCATCTCTAAAATGGGAATAATTAGCTCTACTCACCTCACGAGATAACTGTAAGAAAGAAAGAAAAAGAAGGCATTTATAAAGCACCTACTATATGCCGGGCACTTTACAAATATCTCATTTGATCCTCACAAGGATCTTGGGAGGTAGATAATATTATTCTTTCTATTTTGCAGTTGAAGAAAATGAAGCAAACAGAGGTTAAGTGACTTGCCCAGAGTCAACACAGCTAGGAAGTGTCTGAGGCTGGATTTGAACTCGGGTCTTCCCAACTCTGGGGCCCACTCTCTATCCACTGCACCATCTAGCTGCCCACCCAAAGGGACCTCAGTTCAAATCCTACCTGTATGACCTTGGACACATCACTTAACCACCCTCACCTCAGTTTCTGCCCCTGCAAAATAAAGAAATGGGACTAGATTGCTTCTGTCCATTCCTATAATTCTGAGACTTCGGATTCTCTCCCTCTCTTTATGTTTCACTTCCTTCCCATCTCTCCTTCTTTCCACCTTGCCACCATTTTGACTCTGCAGGGCTGGTTGGTGGTCTCCTCCCTCCTCCTCCACAAAACCTTGTGATGCTAGCCAATGCTTTCCCCACTCTGGAATTGCTCTGTATTAGAGAGACAGTGGGACCTAGTGGATAAAGAAGTCACCTTGGGAACCAGGAATACCTGGGTTCAAATCTTGCCTACAACACAAACTAGTTGTATGACTTTGGACAATTCATAACTCCTAGTGAATTCTTAAATAGAAGTTACAGAGAAGCTGTGATCTGCATTGGTAGAAGGAATTTCCTTATCTGGGAGCTCCCTGCACTGATGACATCATGAGTCAAGTAATAAATAAATAAATGAACCTGATGATTATTTACCTGTATAGCTATGAGTAGACTGGAAGCTCCCTGAGGGCAAACACTGTTTTCTTGTTTTTCTGCCTCCATGCCTAGCATAAGTAAACAGTAGGTGTCTAATCAATGCTTGTTGGATTGGATTGAGCAGAATTCTTTCTCCTCACAGGTTCTCTGGCAGTCAGCACTGCGGCCACATACACTGTGCATACCAGTACCGGGAACACTACCACTGCCTGGACCCTGAGTGCAACTATCAGGTAAGAGGAGTAGGGGGCAAGAAGTGGATCCGGCCACTTACCCTGCAGCCCCTTCTCCCCCAAGACATTGATCGTGGCTGGGGTTTCAAGGCTTTGGGACCCAAACTACCACAGAATAACTCAGCCTTGCAGAGAGTACCAATAACCTAGCAACCCAAATCTGTGCCTGCTTGAGCTTGTCCCCACACCTACACACATCCGCCATTTAATGGCAGAGAGAAGACTGAAGAAATACGATTCCAGTTGTGGTGGGAGAGAAAGGGGAGGAAGCATATCTTCTGTTTTTACCCCCTTCCAATGGACCTGTGTATACAGCTGGGGCAATAGGGAGCCCCTAGGGGTAGTAATGAGAGGTCAGCATTTCCTAGGTGCACTCAGATACACTTAGATGGATCAGTACAGGGCCTCCCCTTCCCAGGCAATTCTCATTTGTGTCTTTGGGCAGATCATTCATAGGAGAATTCCATGCTTGCTGGTGGATTGATTCTCTCAGTAATAAATACTAGGAGTGCCCTTGGGACAACCCTGGGGGCCAAGGTGGGGTCTACCCTTCACTAGATACTATTACTGCTAATAAATAACAAGAATAATCCTGAAGCTGTTTTCAGCAGACCTGTGGAGGATGAGCTTACAGACTGATGCTCATTCAGTTGCAAAAAAGAGTTCATTTATCCACCTGAGTAATAATAGTCCAAAATGGAGCAGTGAGCCTGGAGTCTGGAAGACCTGAGTTCAGATATGGCCACAGACATTTATAGCTGTGTGACCCTGGGTAGGTCATTTAACCTTGTCTGCCTCAGTTTCCTCAACTGTACCTGCTTCATAGGGTTGTCGTAAGGACCAGATGAGATAAGTAAGGTTCGTAAAGCACTTTGGAAACTTTACAGCATTATATACATGCTAGCTATCATTATTAGTATTATCATTATTATTATTATTATTATTATAGTTTTATATAAATATTAGCTGTTATTGTTATTAAAGCAGGTCTCAGACACTGACTAGCTGTGTGACCCTGGGCAAGTCACTTCACCCTATTTGCCTCAGTTTCCTCATCTGTAAAATGAGCTGGAGAAGAAAATGGCAAACCAGTCCAGTATCTCTGCCAAGAAAACCCCAAATGAGGTCATGAAGAGTGGGTCACGGGGCAGCGAGGTGGCTCAGTGGATAGAGCACCGGCCCTGAAGTCAGGAGGACCTGAGTTCAAATCCATCCTCAGACCAAACACTTAACGCTTACTAGCTGTGTGACCCTGGGCAAGTCACTTAACCCCAATTGCCTTAAAAAAAAAAAAGTGGATCACAACTGAAAATGGCTCAGCAACAACACATTATACAATTGTTAGCTATTACTAATATCATTATTATTATTATTAAAGTGCTATATAAATGCTAGCTATTATGATTAAAGCATTCTATAAATGCACGGTTATTAAACATAAAAGAATAAAGGTACAATAATGGCTTGTCCCAGGACCATTTCTATGTGAAACCCACTGAAAAAGGTGAGAACAAGGTAATAAGGATAACAAGGACAATAATAATACTGGCGGCTGTTTGTTTACATGGCAGCGTAAGGGTCAGAAAGCGCTGAACAATCCCCAGCCCCGTGGAACTGCCCGATAATGCCTTCGTGGGCTCGTAGGATCCTAGTGGACCTCAGCGGTCATCTGGTCCAGCCCCCTCACATTGCGGATGAGGAGACTGAGGCTTACATAGCCGAAACTCCGGATCCTAGATTTAGAGCCGGAAGGCGTCTCGGGCCTTTGACTTTGACAGATGAGGAAACTGAGTCCTGGAGAGTTGAAGTGACTTGTCTAAGGTCACCCGGCCAGGCACAACTGGAGGCAGGACTTGAGCTCTGGTCTTTGTACCCCAGGTAGTACCAGTCCCTGCCCCCCTCCCGAGCCCCCTCACTGGCTGCCCTGGGAGGACAGCGGCTCCCTCAGGCCCAGACTTGGGGGCTCACCTCCGGGGCTCTTCTTTCCTGCAGAGATTCACCAGTAAGCAGGACGTGATCCGTCACTACAACATGCACAAGAAGAGAGACAACTCCCTGCAGCACGGCTTCATGCGCTTCAGCCCCCTGGACGACTGCAGCGTCTACTATCATGGCTGCCACCTCAATGGGAAGAGCACGCACTACCACTGCATGCAGGTACGAAGATCCCTGCCCCCAGGCGGGGGGGGCACCCCTTCTCTCTGCCTCTGCCCCTGCTTCTGCCTCTGCTGCTCCACGGGACAGGCGGTAGGGCTAGATGGTAAGCTCCCTGAGGGCAGGCGCAGGCTTGTGTGGCCCCAGTGCCTGGTATGGACTAGCACAGGCTTGCAAAGTGGAAAGGCCTACTGCATGCAGGGCACAGGCACTGAGGGAGGGAGGACGTTGAAATAAGATGTGATTCTGGCCCTCTGAATACAGCCTACAAGGGACCTCCAGCCTGCTCCTGGGCCTGGCCCATCCCTCAGCCTCTAGTCAGCTCCTGCAAACAGTGTCTGTCTGCCCAGACTGTAGGCATAGGCTTACATGGAAGGAAGGAGGGAGGGAGGGAGGAAGGAAGGAAGCAAGGAAGGAACAAAAGGGAGGGAAGAAGGAAAGGGAGAGAGGAGAGGAAGGAAGGAAGAAGAAAGAAGGGAAGGAAGGAAGAAGAAAGAAGGGAAGGGAGGGAGGAAGGAAGAAGAAAGAAGGGAAGGAAGGGAGGAAGGAAGAAAAAAGAAGGGAAGGAAGGGAGGAAGGAAGAAGAAAGAAGGGGAGGGAGAAAGGAAGGGAGGAGAAAGAAGG